GATTTTTTTTATTTTTTTTACTTTAATCTCGGCCGCATCCGACTCCTCTCAATGTGGACTTCCGCCGGAGCTGACCCGATGTGGACCGATTTGAAATGATGGCCGCCCGCTGGAGTGATTCGCCGCTGGACAAAGATGGGAGTAAACACAGAGCTACATCTTCTGAGGTAAGACGATAAAACCGCTATGATTTTAGCTTTTGTTTGTTTGTGCATTTGTGGATTTTATTATTACTATTTCATTATTGATAAAAACAGCCTGATACAGAACAGAACATGTACATTCTGAAGATAGAAAAGCAGAGGTTGCACAGCCGCAGTCCTCGTTCTACAGTCTGAGTCTTGGGTCTTGTGGGAGCGGATCACACAATATGGTGCTCCCCAAGGTTCCTTCCTCGGTCCCATTGGGTTTCTGAGTGGTTCTGTGTCGATGCAGGAGGGTCTCAGGACAGTGGTGGTCCGGGTCATCCTGCTCCCTCTGGACCAATGGCTCCTCTGTGTTTGTCATGAGTCTAAAGCATGGGTGTCAAAGTCAAGGCCCGGGGGCCAGATGCAGCCCGCGAATGAATTACTTGGCCCCCGGGATGATATTTGATTAGTATTAGAACCGGCCGCACAGAGACATAAGAAAATATTGGATTATTCATTTAATTTTCATATGTTTTCTCTTTGAAGGAAGTTTGTTTTTGTCCGTGACAGAACCATACAGAAAAAAATAGATTATTCATTTAATAATTAAATAAAATACGGCCCACTGTGTTAGGTCTTGACTTTGACATCCGTGGTCTAAAGTCTAATTGACCGACTAATTGCTTATCAAACTAATTGTTGATTACAGCCCGAGATCAGGAGATTTCAGCTCTGTCTCAAAAGGCTGTTGTAGCTCCAGGTTTTCAGTCCAACCAAGCAGGAGCACGGCAGACTCCTTCCATTTCCTCAAGTCCAGTCTGAACCTGAAGACTTGGGAAAATGAGTATCATCTGGTTAACTTCAGCTAAGTATTGGAATGACCCACCAACCTCTGTCGTTGATCATAGACTCCCCGGTTGTTTTTTGAAGTCTTGAAACATGTGTATATTACTTACAACTAGGGCTGGGCGATATGGCTGAAAACTATATCACGATATAAGTCATTCATATCGGTCGATAACGATATATATTGAGTTTTTTTTTTTTAACCTAAATAAATATATTTGTCGTGTGGGCTAACCAACCTTAGCAGCCTTGTTTACAGTCACGGGGCGATGAGGCTGGAGGAATATGTTCACACTGTGTCCCTCGTTGTTAGTCCTGGTTTAATCCTGGTTTTTTATTCCTGGTTTAGCTCCTGGTTTAGCTCCTGGTTTAGCTGTTTGAGGGTCTTGTGTCCCCGTGACCGCTCTGTGCGACTCTCTGTGCCGCACATGCTTCCCGAGGAAAAAGTTAATCTCTTGCTTTCGCCGAATACATGGTGTCTGTGCACTGCCTCTGCCGCCGCACATGTTATTCCGCGCACGGACGTGCATAACCATTGACACGGCATTGAAACACGAGCTATAGATCCATGGACGCTACGCATGCTGCGGTTGTTGTTGTTTTTGCATTTCCCAAAAAGTTTTGCGGTTCCTGCTCGGCTGCTATTGGTCAAGAAGCCTCTGCCTACATCCCCCACAATGCCATGCGCTTATGAGTCGGCTTTACTTCCGGTGTTTTCTTCCTGTTTTTCGTGACGGAGTTAAGTTAAACTATCAAACATTCTATCGACCCCATTCTCTATTGATATCGAACACATGTCTATCGCGATATATATCGTTATCGTTTTATTGCCCAGCCCTACTTACAACCTTAAGAGCTTTTCTGAGACTAATCCTTCGACTAATTCAAAATCTCCACATAAAACCAATTGAGTGTGATTTAGCAGCACTCGGGCGGATAGCACCTCACGTCTTGGCAACGTTCACACTTCTCCTTAAAAAGTGTAAGAGAAAGCGCTGGACCTGTTGTGCCTTTGCCAGACGCTCATAAATGACACATAGTAAAGCGCTCCCCATCTTCCTCTCAGGTTACATCATCATCAAAGCTCGTTCCATGCGTGTCATAACAGTTCTGCGGCAGTGGCATGTTTTTATTTTGGATTAATCCGTCATCAGAAAATGGCGGAAATGTGCGCGGTTGGTAATCCTCTTACTGCAATGGGAAGGATGCTGGATCTTTGGGAAGCAGTGAAAGCTACTGATGTCAATGGAAGTGGATGGACTGGAGGACGGCAGGGACAGACCTAGCACTTTATAAGGAGCTGTGTGCTTTGTGCAGCTGTTGACATTGATGCTGTGTCTTCTGCTGGTTTGGATTGTCTCCTCTGCACCTGTCCTCTCTGACTCCTGAATGTCCTGTTTTGTGCCTGTTTTCTCTGTATCGGACATGAGTTGGTTTAGGACTCCCATGTTAGAAAAGACCATGTGTAATAACATTTACTGTATGTTTACAAGCTGAAGTTTGTCTGTTCACATCCCTAATTCAGTCTGGAGGGACTCAAACAGCCAAAAGGGGTTAGTACAATTGTATTTATTGGTTGCCATCTGTCATCTGTCACTGGGGCTGCACAATATTGGATCTTTGAACGATATTTGATGAGTTTTTTTTTATATTTTGAAAACGACTTTATTGCGATATTTTTGTCTTTCACCTAAAATCTGCTTTGTAACGCAAGAGACAAATAATAGGCACAACATTAAAACATACAAATATATCGATATCAGAATCAGAATCAGAATCATTTTTATTGCCACGTAAGTAACAGGAAGTCACAGACTTGGAAATTGCTTTGGCTCAGTGCAACAGTCAAAAAGAGATAGTAAAAATAAGAATAAAAAACACTTCTAAAGAATAAATTTAAATTTAAAATAGAGTTACAGTTACTATTTACAATATCCAAGTGCACATGGTGCACACCATGTAAGGTGACAGCAGTACAGTGAAGTAAAGTGACGTATGATGGGCAGTAAAGTGACTTTATAAAGGGCGGGGGGACAGGTTAAGAAGTGTTCAAGAGTCCAACAGCAGAGGGGAAGAAACTGTTCTTGTGGCGGGAGGTTCTAGTCCTGATGGACCGCAGCCTCCTGCCTGAGGGGAGTGGTTGGAATAGTCCATGTGCAGGTGAGAGGGGAGTGGTTGGAAATAGTCCATGTGCAGGTGAGAGGGGAGTGGTTGGAATAGTCCATGTGCAGGTGAGAGGGGTCGGCTGTGATACGACCAGCCCGGCCTCGAGCTCGGGCGACGTACAGGTCCTGCAGCGATGGAAGGCTGCGGCCGATCACTTCCTCTGCAGAGCGCACAATGCACTGTAGTCTCTGTTTGTCCCTGACTGTGGCTCCAGCGAACCACACGGTGATGGAGGAGGTGATGAGGAGGTGATGGAGGAGGTGATGGCCGTGTAGAACTGCACCAACATCTGTGCAGGCAGATGTTGGATATTGCACGTACCAATATCGCGATAACAATATTTTTTGCAGCCCTATCTGTCACTGTATAGGTTAGAACATAAGGCATGCTGTACAGAAGGGGAAAGGAGAACTGAGATTATGAGATGAAGATCCCGGAGCCCTGGTGGGAGCAACGAGAAGGGCTGAAGGGCTGGTCCGGCCGATGAGGCGGTGATGGGGAGGAGGAGGGCTGCTGCACAATCAAAGCTCAATGCAGGACGGTGCTTGAATGCTGCTGGGTGAGAGATTCTCAGCGTGGGGCCACCAGCAGAGTGTGGACGACTGGTTGCTGATGCGGCGCTGCAGCAGGGGCAGGACTGAGAGCAGGGAGCTTCAGCAGTTTCCCGTCTTCAGTCTGAACCTCTGCTTTAGCTTCTTTTTCCTGTAAATAACCCGTTAATAAACAGATACGGTCAGTGTAATGCTGCAGGGAAATGTTTATTCTATCCATTCACTCTGTTGATTACTGGCATCACATGAGGACCTCTGAGCTGTGAGTTAAGACTGTGTGAGTTTGCTGCTGCTCTGTCTGAGTTTCTGTTGTCATTCATGCTCCTTTGAACTATTGTTCTCCCAGTTCTGACCACGAGTCTGTGGTTGGTAACCGTAAACAAACTGGTTAACTGTTGAGACGCTTTGTACACATTTCTCATTTCTGATTTTATTAGTACTATTTTTTTGGAGCTATAGATTTAACCACTTATAGTCATTTGGAGCTATAGCTTATATGTGTGTAGCCTGGTCTTACTATACCATCCTACTCATTTCTTTAGCCATCTCCTTTGCCACTGACGGAGCCTGTGGGGAGTAAAGCCACAACATATTTGCAGCAATGACATTTACTAAACATTCCTCTTGCTCCGGCTTCAATTTCAGATGGATAAGACCAGGCTACTATGTGTGTAAAGAGAATCAGATTTTACTGCTTACTCATTTGCACTTTCCTGCTGTAGAGTTTGTGGAAGAGATTATAATAGTGTTGAAAAATAAACAGGGAATCTGTGTGTGTGTGTGTGTGTGTGTGTGTGAGAGCAGAGCCAGGCAGGTCATATTGATGTGCCAGTCTCCAAAACCAGAAATACCAATCACTGCATCACCTTTTCTGCTTCAGTGATTCTGATCTGTTGTTCCCCCGGGATCTCCTGTGTCTTTAGGCTCAGGACCCTCTCCCCCTTTGCCCCAGAATCCTCTTCATTCACTAATGAGGGAGATGAGCACACACACACACACACACACACACATACACACAGACGTTACTCTCGCCAAAGTGACGGTGGCTTGGCGGGGGTAATTTGGGCTCAGCTGCCCCGGTCATTAGGGGAGAAAACCCCACGTGTGCAGCGTCTGCTTGGTTTCTTTCTTTACCCACTGTCACTGCCTCATTGCCTGCTGTCAATCACCGAGGCCTGAGGCAGCTGTGGCCTGAAGCGGGGACAGAAACACAGTAATTAATCATATTTTACATACAGGAGACTTTTACTAATATACATTTTGATCTGACTGTCATCATTTATTTGTTTATGTATTTGTTTGGAGGAGG